AAATCCAGCTTGTAGTTCTGGGAGTTCTCGGTCCACATACTGCTGAAGCCTACCTTGTACAATTTTGAGCATGACCTTGCTAGTGTGTGAAATGAGTGCAATTGTATGGTAGTTGGAGCATTCTTTGGCACTGCCCTTCTTTGGGATTGGGATGTAGACTGATCTTTTCCAATCCTCTGGCCACTGCTGAGTTTTTCAAAATTGCTGGCATATTGAATGTAGCACCTTAACAGCGTCATCCTAAAGATATTTTTGGAAAAGTCTAATCTGGCCTTTCCATTCTTGAGGTTTATGAATGGTTTGCATCTTGTGGTGAACCCTCTATATTTGCTTTCGTGAAGTCTTCTCTTTATGGTATATTTGATAATGATGTGTCTACCTTTCGAAGAGCGTTCTTCACTTGGCTGGGTGTTGTGAAGAGTTTTTTCTTTACCATGGAAAGGATCTTACGTTGATCCACCACTGTTATCTTCCATGGACGACCAGGCTTTTTATTGTTGCAGAGCTCACCATCGTGTTTTCTTTTTCTCTCCCCCTCCTCCCCCCGAATGTGTTAAAGTGTTGATATGGCCACTCCTAATGTTCCTGCTATCTCTCTTATCAATCTATTTTATTTTATTTTCCTTTTTGCAGCCTAAGGATGGCCTGTTTCAATTTTATTGAGAGCTCCTCTGAAGGCATGTCGTAGGTTCATAGCAACAGCTTGTGGATGTAAATGCGGCTGTGACACCTGAAATCAACTCAACCTTTTATCTGCTTATCTGATGATGAAATAACGAACGAACAGCCCACACATGTCCATGAAAGATGAGTCAATTGTCCAATTACTTTTGTTCCTTTGAAAAAGAGGGGGCTAAACAGATGGAATTCTTAAACTATTCCTACAATCTGGATGTGAATATCCTCAAATTAAAGCTGCATTTTTAAGCCAATATTCATTATTTAACTGTAACTTGTATTTATTTTGGTAAACAGACAAAAATAACAAAACTTTTGTCAGTGTCCCATTATTTATGGACCTACCCTGTTTCCCTGAAAATAAGACATAACCTGAAAATAAGCCCTAGTAGGAGTTTCCACGATGCGCGTAATATAAGCCCACCCTAAAAATAAGCCTCTTGTTAAGTGACATCCTGCCCTCTACCATTGTGCAGCAACCAAAAGATGACATGACTGTGTTTGAATAAATGTAGATTGTTGTACATGAAAAATAAAAAATAAAACATCCCCTGAAAATAATGTGGTTTTTTGGAGCAAAAATTAATATAAGACCCTATTTTATTTTCGGGCAACACGGGTAACTATATATTTATAATCTGAATTCAGTCTTACAATGCAATCTCCAATTTCTGTCACAAAAAAGTAGTATAGTTAAAGAAAATCCAGATGTCGTCTGAAGACTGGACTAGGCTCTTTACTTCATTTATTAAATTATCTTGTGCTAAACAAAAGGCAGAGTGTACTTGGATTATTTAGTTTCTATCTCAATTCATGGAACTGCAATTCACCTGTAACTTTCACTCACCTCCACTACACCATGATGGATAGATGTATACTGTTTTTTCTTTAGCATTACCAAAGTAATGACAATCACTGTTGCAATGACAACACCTCCCACCATTAATCCAATAATGGCACCTTTGTTTGAACCTACATCTTCAGCAAAGAATACCTAAAAAAAGAGATAACCAATTATTTACAGAATTAAGAGATGGTACTTTTCCCCCCCAACACATTTTGCAATCTTCCAAATTAATAACGTTCCACTCAACTATCCAATGATATCTACCAAATGATCAGGCTCACACAAAATAACTCAATTCTGTCTCTATATATGCGGCCAATTCAGAATTATGTATGCACGAGAACTAGCTGCTTATGATTCCTTCTCTTCAGGATCTGATCTAGAACACCCTTCCCGTTTTTGTTGCCAATCCTACCAGGCTTGCTGTATCTCCTAAATCACATGCTGTACATGGTTAAAGGGTCCCGTAATCCTCTAGAATAAGATTATGGGTAGACACAAGGTCCTACATAGATGGGGTCTTTGTTTCATTCGTGGAAGGGCTTAGGGTTCAGCAAATAACTGGAAATATTCAAAAGGGAGGAAGCTGTGAAAGCGTATTTTTAACAGATTCACTTTTCCCCTTAGCTATTTCAGATCAGAGCATACTGTTTTTATATAATATATAGGTAGATTCAATGACACAACCATTGGATTTTTTCTTTAAGCTAATATATACAGTAGTACCTGAGGTTTAGGCAAAAAAGTATGAAGGTGAAAGCTCTTGAATTTCATTAAAATTTACTTTTAAACTAATATAACCTAATTTATGGTGATGATTTACTACATTTATTTTACATAAAGAACTCAAAGGTAACATTCTTTCCCATTTTCATTCTCAAAAAACTCTGAGGTTAGATTAGTAGATAGTGACTGGTCCAATTCAGTTCACTAAACTTTATTGCAATAAAGAGTTTGAGTTTACACAACTGACATACTGTTGTTTACACTGATAGTGGCATACTGTATATCCCTTTTGCAACACATCAGTTCCTGTCAGTATAAAAATATAAATATTTCCCAGCAGAAAAATAACATGACATTTCAAACCAGATCAAGTTACTTGATATGATAGATTAGGTAACAAAAGATAAAGAGAAATAATGTGGTTCTGATCTTTAGAATAAATTGGAATGTAGAATAAGGAAATGCTCCAGAGGTTTGACAATGCATGCACGAACGCACGCACACACACTCACACACAAATGCCTCTTAAGCAGGCAAAAAAGCCCTACAGTGGTGCCTCGCTAGACGATGATAATCCGTAAAAAAAGATAAAGAGAAATAATGTGGTTCTGATCTTTAGAATAAATTGGAATGTAGAATAAGGAAATGATCCAGAGGTTTGACAATGCACGCACGCACACATACACAAAACTGCCACTTAAGCAGGCAAAAAAGACCTACAGTGGTGCCTCGCTAGATGATGATAATCCGTACCACTGAAATCGCTGTTTAGCGAAATCATTGTCTAGCGAAAAGCATTTCCCCATTGGAATGCATTGAAACCTCTTTAATGCGTTCCAATGGGGAAGAATCGTCGTTGTCTAGGGAAGATCGGCCATAGGAAAGCCGCTTTGTGAACCGCCGATCAGCTGTTTAAATCACTGTCTTGCGAAGCTTAGGTCCTGAAAACACCTGTTTGCGAGTGCGGAGGGAGCTGTCAAAATCGTCTAGCGAAAATCAGTTTGCGAAGCAAGGACCAAACACTGTCCAGCGAAATTCCCCCATAGGAATCACTGTTTTGCGAATCGCTATAGCGATCACAAAAAGCCAATGTCTAGCAAAAAAACAGTCATACAGGTAACTGTCTAGTGAGGCACCATGTATTTATCTTTCCCTTTGGTTTCACAAAGCCAAGGCTTTTAAGAAACCACTCTGCTCTTTATTCTCCTTTACTGTGCATTTCTTGCCGTCTTCTTTCTTTTCTATTTTTTGCTAACTGGACAATGGTTGGGTTGCACTGACTACCCCTTCAAGGCTATACTTTTCCTCTTCAAGGCAAAAAGAAACCACTCTGCTCTTTATTCTCCTTTACTGTGCATTTCTTGCCTTCTATCTTCTTTCTTTTCTATTTTTTGCTAATTGGACAATGGTTGGGTTGCACTGACTACCCCTTCAAGGCTATACTTTTCCTCTTCAAGGCAAAAAAACGACATCCTTTTGGGGTCAACCTAGATCCAAGTGCATCCGGTCTTCCTCTTGCAGGCCTGTCCCACTTATATATAATGGAAGCTGGTGGGAGGGACAGCATCAACTTAAACTGCAATGGAGTACTCTGACGAGGTTTGCTAAATTATCCTGTGCTTATAGCTACCCTTCCCCATCTCATGCTATTACTTGTAAAGAATGAATGCTGACCTGCAACCTCCTAGCACAGAAAGATCCAGTACATTGAAAGTACATGTAAAGTATTTTTAAATGGTAAAAATATAAGGGAGGCCCGGAATGAAAAAACAAGAAACCGGGCTTTCTCGGCGGTGGCTCCTCGCCTCTGGAACAACCTACCTCTGGAGATTCGCGCAGCCCCTTCGCTGGGTATTTTTAAAAAATCAACTAAAAACGTGGATGTTTCAGCCGGCCTTCCCTCCAGTTAACTCCGGATGTTTTCCTTCCCTCTTTTTTCCTACTGCTTGTTTTCCATCTTGTTGAATTTGTTCTTTGTTCGTTACATAATAATTTTATATCTATCTGTGTATTTTATGTGTATTTTATTTATGTTGTAAGCCACCTAGAGTGGTCATAACTGACCAGATAGGCGGGATATAAATAAAATAAAATAAATAAATAAGATGATCACGATTCTGAGAATAAGTCTTTTCATAGTCACAGAAATGTAAAAGCAAAATCCCCAAAATCCAGGTAACATTTTCATGAACAAATTTAGGAGACCAGATTTACATAATTACTAAGAATACAGCAATATCAAGCATAAGAAAGTAGGCCATGCTCACCAGTTTCTGATGATGTACTTCATATCCTGAATCGTGTCTATACTCTGCATCCATCTTTAATTCTGCAGTCTCTTCTGTCTTAACATTGGTTAATCCTGAGCCTGTATTATACAAAATCAACCAAATAATAAGTAGAAACATTTAAATGTTCCTAGGAATACCCTCCATCATAGCTGCCAAGAGTAACTGACAGTAAGAGTCACGAATGACAAAATGCATGGTGAGACAATGAAAGAGAATGTGTCAAAACATAAGGAAACAAAACTAGAGTGGGGGAAAAACAGGCAATGTGTTCTACTGCTATGAGATATGCAGTCCATTCTTAGCACTGGTTCAGGGGGTGGGGAGACATATATAGACTATTTATAAAAATAAACTAGTATTGTGACAGTTTCCAAGGGTGGTTCACAAAAAGGAGAAGCAGTGTAAACTTGCCAAGAGCAATATTTTTGCCAGCCATTTGGTGGTTTTTCCATTTACACAGCTCAGAACATTCCTAATCCTGTTCTTGATAAAAGGCTCCTGTTCTTGGTTTCCTCCATGGCATTATGAGAGACACTGACCCAGCTCTCAAGTGTTGGGCTACCCAACTTTGTCAAGGGAATTTACACAATGGAAACTTTTGCAGTTCCAGCACATCACTTGAAATGGCATAAGAAGGTGGAGATCCTATATTCACTTACTTGAGAGTAAGCTCCACTTAATTCAAGGGTATTTTAGCTCTGGGCACACTTGTGCATACGACTGCCTTGGAGTTTGGATCATCCCTATTTTATTGCTCTGCCTTAGATATGGTGATCCTGATTCAATAAAATATGGTATATAAAGAAGGAAACAAGTGTTGTGCTATGCGCACAGAAACCCAGTTTCAGGTTTTGTATCATGACTATCTTAAACAACGTCTTTTGACATCTGAGATGGAAATCCATCTTTACTCTTGGACTCCAAGAAATCATTTCAGAATTTACAATATATTTCAGAAATGCAAATGTCTTCACTGTCCTTTAAAGTAACCATGATGCAAACCTTGAGACCTGTGTGCAAGAGGAAAAGGAGAGATGCCGGCATGACCTTTGTTCCTGGTATAATAAAGTCTTTGTTTCTGAAGCTGGATCATTCTGTTTGAACACTCATGCCTAAATAAAACACAATAGAGAGGCTCTGCTACAGGCAAGCACCTGTGTCCTGTTGCTGCACACTAGTTTTCTTTGAAGTCATCCAATTTTCCGCCAATATGTGGCTTTATCATATTACCTACAGAAGAAGAGATTGTGCCAATACAATACAGTAATTTTGTGGAACAGGCTCTAAATATGTACTTAATGGATACTGAATTTTTTCTCACATACAAAAATATATAAAAGCAATCTCATGTGTTAGTCAAACTTTGTTTATAGATAGCAAAGGGCATATTGTGTTTCACTTCCTTTTTAACAAAGTCCTAATGTTTCACTTTTCTAAATACATATCAGAAAAGCAACCATAAGTGGATATATTCTGCAATACAACTGCCTTTGTATTTCCATTCTGAATATTGTCAAATTAATTTTTTTAACATCATATGTTATTAATATTATATCTGGGAGCAGAGGCAGCCTGTGGCTAGAGTGGGGCCAAGGATCTTTCCCTTTCATAGCCATGGCCCACCCTTATCTGGCAGTTTGCTCCCATTCTCTGGGAATCCAACTTTTTGTGACCTGAGGTTTAAACATTTGTATCATTATAGATGTTAATTCCCAAGTTATGTAGCTAATAATACAAATTAATTTCAATGAAAAATAATCAAATTGGAGCATCAGGAATATTTATTTACTAGTGCTGTTAAGCTGAAACTGAGTTACAGCAACCCTCATAGAGCTTTCAAAGTGAGATAGTTAAGGAGTGGTTTTACCAGTTCCACACCTCCAGCGAGTTTCCAAGGCTGAGAAGGGATTCAAACCCTGGTCTCCAGAGTCCTAGTCTATCACTCTATCCAGTACACCAAACGGGATACTTATATTTATTTATTTAGTCGCATTTGTAGGCCACCTTTCTTCCAATGAGGGGATTCAAGGTGGCTCACAATGTTAAAACAAGTAAAATAAAAAAATACAACAAATTACACATTAAAAACAATTCAGCTATAATAATAATAATTAAAAACATTAGAAACTTTAAGGCCAAATAAATAATTAAGAAATTTGCTATTCTATTTAGAGGAAGTATATTGGATTAGAGGAAACTGCATTAAGTATTTATGTATGTTTCTCAATATTTCAAGTATGTAACAGCAGTGGGAAGTATATGCAGCTCCAGACATTGTTTGGCTGGAGCTCACATCAACCCTCCTCAGCACAGCCAGTAATGAACTGTTATGGAGTTGCAGTCCAGCAATATCTCGAGTGTTACACATTTTTAGTTCCTGCTGTATGCATAAGCATATGGCATTGAGAGTTACAGTTTCTGAAGAAGCCTGTAACGATTTATCACTTCTGAAACAGCAAACAGAATTTCTACAGGCTAAAGGACCAAACAAAATTTGAAGCTAATAATTCCAGAGCAACTTGCAAGGTTTCTGACACTGCAAAAGAGGAGAGTTGGGGTCTCTCACTCAGATGCAGTCCCTCATGTCTCTTTTCATAAAAACATTGGCACCAAAGGGACTATGAGCGCATGTCGTGAAAAGCCATTTATTTTACCTGATACTATTGTTTTATGCTGTTTTACATAAAATATTGTGGAGGCACCTATGAAATGGTAGCTTAACATCCAGCTACTAGTACAACATATTGAGAAGTATGGAGTCTTGCCAATCTCCACAAGAAAGTTTGGGCAGAAGCCCAAGGAGAAAAACAACAGCAGCCAAGCTTTCTTTTTCCCCCGATATGTCTTTAGTACAAACTGCTGAACATATATCACACAATTCTTCATGGGAGCCATCTTTGTCCTAATAATTTGTTTCAAACCTTGAAAACAAGATAAATTTGCAAAACATCACACTTCCGGTTTTATTCCAATCCAAGCGACTCTTCTGTCAAATCAAGGATTTATTTTATTAAATTATTTTACTCTTTACCATGTTTAGCATCACTGAGCTCAGGTGCAGAATATGATTATTAGAACAGATGGATGAGACTGTCATTTTTAGACATTAAATTTGAGCGATCTAGAACACTACTAGAGTGCACCATGCTTCTACATGACATGTTACAGTGTAACCACAAGAACAAACTAGACATGAATTGTGTGAATGCCACTGCACTCTCTCCTTTCTTTCTGGGGAAGAGGGTTATGTAAAGAGCACCTATGGCGAAGCCTGAGCAACATCTGGATTATTGTGGGTGGGTAAATTTTCTCTCTACTATTGTTCCCAACACAGAGCGTGAAAGTATTTACATTTCAAGGTAAGTTTCCATTTACCCCAATGGAAGCTTCCTCAATTTGCTGACAGATTAGTCATTATTTTTGTTTTGATCTTTAGAATATAATTATAAACAGGGTAGACTGCCACCATTGGCACTACAACAAGCAACCAGAAATAAACTTAAGAATATTTATTTCAAAATTTGAACGTGAAATTTGGATGAAAAAGGCTTGGCTAGCTGAACGTGCCTATGATTTGCAGACTTGGAGTTGTATTTTGAAGGCAATATGATGTCAGTGGAGAAATGAATTTAATAGTTAGCTTTGGAAGTGTAACTGACTGTATAACATCCTTATGCCTGCTTTGTAACTTTGCAGCAGCTTTCTGGAGAACTACTAAACTTCCATATGTTTGTGCATATGAACTTAATATGGTCTTAGAGTACAAAAAATAATAATATACAACTTATGTAAGACTTTCAGAAGATAAATTCAGTATCAAAGCAGCCCTTGCAAGTCAAAGCATTTCACTCTATCAATATTTAGTATGAAATTTCAAAGTATAGATCATAAAAGCACTGCAATGTCCCCCTTTACCTGTTTTTGGGAAAAAGAGGAAGCAAGGTCTTTTGAATGAGAGTTGATTTGAAAATGTTTGAAGGATGGTGCAGGGACAGCTGATGTCATCTCAAAAGATGTGCCATCAATTGGTTACATTTGAAATGCGAAATAATCATTCACTGGCTTTCCCACCCCCATGTATATATAGAGTAATCAGTTAACAAAAAACCAGAACATTCTTTGATTTATGGGTCTCTATTAAGAAAAGGCTAAGAAATGCCACCTTCGTTCTTGACAATTATGCTTTTAAGGCTAAGCAGGACTCAGGGCTCTGTGGAAAAAAAAACCTGATATGCCACGTAGCATGCAATATGTGAAGTCAGTTGTTGACCTGAGAAGACCAAAATTACTTGCCTCCTAATGATGCTATTAAAAGTGATGATATTTAATGAAGCACTCTGCTGGCATAGTTTGTGGTAAGCTGCAAACCAGAGGTATAATATGTCACTGGATAAGTCATGCAAGGAAACAGAACGAGGCTAATCTTAGGAGAGGCCCTATTTTGAGCCTAGTGTTGTACATTAATTCACTATTGCTCTGGAAGTTCAATAAAACAACATGTCACATTTCTGTTGCTCATGGTTGTTAACAATATACGGAAACAATTAAGACATATATTGTTGGACTTGCTACTTAATGTGTCTCACAAGTGAATAAACTGTTCAAATTTCTATTACAGTACTTACAAAACTCTTTGGTAGCCTTCACTGGATAGGAACACTACAGATTTCAGCTTATTCTATCAAGTCATACTGTTTCTATCCACAGGTCTGTGTAAATGTAATCAAAGCACTTTAAACTTCCATTATATTTGTCTGAAACATTTTGATAGATAGCCATTATTATTCTTCAGACTGAACACGAGACTTATATCAAAGACTAAAGGCATTCTTAGGAAAATACTTTGGAAGCCCTATAAATTAAACCTTTGAATTCCTTTCTAAAGCTCACACAGCTGCTGAACTTAGCATTTTTAGTTTCCAAACCAAAATATGTATGCTTCATCCACAAAAATGCATCACATACATACTTTGAATGCCCGCAGCTCCTGCCTAATGCTAAAGTTATGAGAAAAAAGGTACACTAAAGGAGAAAAAGAACAAATCATCCAACAATCCTACGTGTATGAATGTGTGTTATATTTCATCAAGTTGTGTCTGACTTATGACAACCCTAATAGGGTTTTAAAGTATGCGAGATATTTAAAGAGGAGTTTTATGGTGAGTTTCCATCACTAAGCGGTGATCTGAACCCAGGTCAGAATCCTACTCCAACACTCTTACTGTATCCTCAATGGCTCTACACTTTTAAACTCTATGTATTTATGGTAGACATAATTAGTTTATGTGTCAGGTTGAAGAGTTTCAGGACTGTTCAAAGACTAGTGGGTAGTTACTGTTTAAATCATCACTCCAAGAAGACACAAAAGCTCAGCAGAGGAACATTATAAAGGAAAGGCAATTCATTCAGCGCAAGCCAAAGATGTGCATGCATAGCAAATATAGATTAGGTAAAAGCCATGCAAATCATATACCTGGTCGTGTGGTGAGTCCTCTGTCGGCAGCTGGCCGGGCATCAACTGGCTCAACTGGGCACGTGCAGCCAAAGAAACAAACCAAAAGGAAAGAAAAAAAGAGCAAATCAAAGAAATAAACAAAAGCTTCAAAAATAAGTTGCCTATGATTTTGCTTGGGACGGAGCAGGAAAGATATATGCCATAAACAAAGTTACAAAAGCAACAGCTTGGTAAAAAACTTGCTTTAAGTTAATCCTGGAAATGAAACAAAAGGAAAGGGGCCAATTCCAACGAACTGTACATATGCATCAAACCATTTTTGGTTATTGGCAAATTTACACACTGACTGTCATAAACTAAGTGCTAAAAGTTCCCCACCTAAATAGACAGCAAGGCCCGCTTCAGTTCTAAAGAGAAAAGGAGGGGGCAGGGCAAGGACAGTTACTCACCTGTAATTGTAGTTCTTCGAGTGGACCTCTGCGATTCACACCCTGGATAATCCGCACCTGCGCAGAGCCTTGTTGGAAGATTCTAGAGCTGCTGCAGTAGCAAAACAAACAAACAAACAAAAACACATTAGTGTAGACCCCTCCCCCTCTGTATATGTACCTTGGCATGAAGACTCTCCCTTCAGTTAGGTCAACCGCCACATAGAACAGCTGCATGGCGTGACAGAGGGGAGGTTGGGTTGGGTTGTGTGAATCACAGAGGTCCACTCGAAGAACTACAATTACAGTTGAGTAACTTGTTCTTCTTCTTTATGGCCTCTGTGAATCACACCCTAGGTGACTAACAAGCTGTCTTACCTAGAGGAGGGTGTCACACCAAGGTAGAGTATAGCACAACACATCCAAAGGCTGCATCAGATTTTTGCTGAAAATCCAATCTGTAGTGCTTGATGAATGTGGATGGCTGTGACCACGTGGCAGAGGCGCAGACACCTGGAAGGGGAACGCCACGAAGAAACACTGATGATGTTGTCACTGCCCTAGCAGAATGAGGGCAAATAACTTGTGGACCTGGAAGTCGAACAAGCTGGTATGCCAGGTGGATGGTGAAAGCAACCCATTTAGAAATTCTCTGTGAGGTCACTTGAAGTCCCTTAGTAGGGAGTTGGTAGCCGACGATGAGTCGAGCTGAACGTCAGAAGGGTTGCGTACGGGCTAAATAAAATGCTAGAGCCCTTCTGACATCTAATGTAGGATTCTTTCTTGAAAAATAGATGGAGATGGGAAAAAGGATGGGAGAACCAATGGTTGGGACAGATGGAACTGGGAAAACACCTTGGGGAGAAAGGAAATATTTACAAATAACTTAACCTTCAAAGTAGGGTGTCTGAAGAACTGGGCTGCTGAAGAAGTTGGTGGCTGATAAGAAACAACTGCAGCAAGATAAGACTCTTAAGGAGGAAAGAGAGGCCCTTGGTTTTAAGGTGAAGCAAAAAGGATGGTGGTGAGGGAGGGATTGACAGAAGGTAGATCAGAGGCTTGAGTGAAGAACTAGAATTTCCTCCATTTGTAGAGATAAACTCTCCTTGTTGAGGGTTTCTTAGCCTGATGGAACACATTCATCAGGGAGGCAGAATCCTCCATGCTGCCAGATGCAGAGCAGGCAGGTCTGGGTAGAGAATTTGAGTTTTGTTTTGTGTGAGCAGGTGAGGCAGGCGGGCAGGTGATAGATGTCGTATGACAGGAAGTGGAAAACCGGGAACCCAGGTTGTTGTGACCATCATAGAGCTATCAGGATAGCATTGGGTCTCTCCTTGTGGAGGAGCAGTAATGGTGGGAACAGGTAAGTAAGGGTCCTGGGCCAACGGCCTATGAATGTGTAATTGCGGGAGTGTTTGACAACTTCTGCACGGGAGCAGTAACGTTTGCACTTCTGATCTGTCCGGGAAGCAAACAGGTCAATGGTGGGTGTGCCCCAGCGTGCGCAAAGAATGAGAAAGACAGATTGGTACAGTTCCCATTTGTGAGCTTGGGATTCCATGAGACTGAGAACATCTGCCAGATTGTTGTCTTGGCCAGCTACCATATGTGTATTGCTGTAAGGCAGATATGATGTGGCAGACACCATTCCCATAAGTCGACTACAAGGTACAGGAGGCTTGGAGAGTGGGTGCCATCTTGCTTGAGAATATAATACATTGCGGTAGTGTTGTCAGTGGTGAATTGCACCATTTTGCCAGCAAGACGGTCTCTGACTGCCTTGCAAGCCTTTATCACTGCTAAGTCCAGCTCACTGATACAGAGCAGTCTCTATCTGACCATTGGGCATGAATCTTTAGGGATTTGCAGCGAGCACTCCAGCCAGTGAGGCTGGCATTGTTAGTGAGTCGTATTTGAGGACATGGTTTTTGGAAGGATCATCCCATTGTATGGTTTTGAATAGAATGCTACCAAAAAGTTGGGTGGCGGGTTCCGGGGTGACCCATAGGAGGGTACGAGGATGGTCCATTAGCAGGTCGAAGAGGGCAAGGAACCATGCCTGGAGTCACCTCATTTTGAGGCGTATGTGTTGTACTACAGATGTCATGGATGCCATAGCGCCTAGGACATGTTGAACTGTTAATGTGGGTACAAGCGCATGAGGGATGAAGGAGTGAAGCAAGGATTTCAGGTTGTGTTGCTTGTCCGTTGGAAGGAATGCTTGGGTATGAGTAGAGTCTATGATTGCCCCTATGTACTGAACAATACAGGAGAAGGGACAGTGTAAACTGGATGTCTTGTTGTGCTTTGTGATGGGAATGAGCTACAAGGAGCCAGTCGTTGATGTACAGAAAAATGTACAGAAAAATGTGGATTCTATGAAGTCTGAGGTAGGCTGCTACAGGGGCCATGCATTTGATAAAGACTTTGGGAGCTGTTGCCAGTCCAAATGGAAGCCTTTTGAATTGATAGGCCTGGGTTCCAAGTTGGAATTAAAGGTAAGGCCTGTGAGAGTGCTGGATGGATACATGGAAATAAATCTGTGGCTGCGAACCAGTCCTTTTTCCGGAGCAGGGGGAGGATGGAGGAGTATTGATTGGGTTTTAAGGTGCTGCCTGGTAGGCAGTATGTAGCTCTTGATGGTCATGATGGTGAGATTGTTTCAACACTGAGGGCTGCCCTGAAGGAGGCTTCTGATATGGCACTGCCGCCAAACCGGAGAGAGCAAACAGTTGATAATGCTTGGCAGGCTTTCCAGTTGAGCACTGATCAGGGCAAACGGCTACCCGATGATACTGCTGAGCGTGGGTTGTCACCATACGCGAAGGCAGGTTGCCAGTTTCTCATAGTTGGTGCTATAGATGACACATTGGAGGCCAAGGTGGTAGGCCTGTTGAGACCGAGTAGGGCACGGCATCAAGTTGCATTTCTGCTCCTTGTATATCAGGCGAAGCAACCAAGGAAGGCTCTCTGGGACATGCTGGGACTAGCAAGGGAGGATGTGAGCTGGTCCACCCGCTCTTCCAATTCTGGTGATATATATGGTTGATGGGATGGGAGCCCTTCTTGATCTGAGGGTGAGCCCATGCAAATTAAATCCCTGGACTCCGGGAGCTGCGGAGAAGTGATCTGAGGGCATTTCGCCTTTGAAGATTTGGATTTTTTTGGTGGCGAGGGTTCCGGAGATGTCGATGGACAGTTTTCTTTATGTGGTTGTTTTCTCTGTCGAAGACTTTGACATCCAAAGTTTGGTTTTCAGCCCTTTTGCAGTTTTGAACGATGTCAAGGGGGCACTGGAGTGCGATGGCATGGCTGAAGGCTGCTGTTTTGCCGTCCATGGCCTTAGCTTGTAAGGTGGATTTACAAGCAGACTGAGCCATAGATTTTGTGGGCTGAAGGGATTGTTCCCAAAGCTGAATCTTAAGTCTAGAGAGGCAACTGCTGAGAACTCCTCGCTTAAAGTTCTTACAGTGAGGGCACGAGGAAGTTTGGTGGGCCTCACCAAGACAAAAAAGACATTTAGAGTAGCCGTCTGAATGTGGGATCTTATTCTCGCAGGCCACGCAATGCTTAAACTGGCCCAGGGTGGCCAAGAGATATAGAAAAGGAATAAAACAAAGGAGATGGGTTGGGGGGAGGGAGAAGCTTCAAGGAATAAAAAGTAAACACTCTTTCGCTTTAGAAAGAAAAACTCACAGAAGCAACGATACGAGGCTCTCAATGTGGCGGTTGAAAGAAAACTGAAGGGAGAGTCTTGGCACCAAGGTACATATACAGAAGGGGAGGGGTCTACACTAATTTTTTGCTACCACAGAAGCTCTAGAATCTTCTGATGAGGTGTGGATTACCCAGGGTGTGATTCACAAAGGCCACGAAGAAGAACCTTGCCTTTGGTTAAATCTGACAGCATAAAGATCACACACAGATGCTGCTTCTCACATGAGTAATGTAATTTACCCCAATTTCACTTGGCCTTTAGCTATGAGCAATGTTTCAAACACCATCAGATAACGTTCTTATGGCAATTATGCAGCAGTCTGGCTTGTCTCAAAACAAGTGAGGGAAAATCAGGGGAATATTATCTTTGAGTAACAGCATTTTCTCTCTATAAAAAGAAAGGCACAAATATCTTCCAGGGTGCCTTCTAAGTTGTATAAATGCTTAGGTTCTCTCTACCAATTTCCATTTAGGAGTAGCCCTGCCATCTGTTGCTTGATTCATCTACTTATACTACACTAAGATATGTGCTTTCTTTGTTAGCACCTATTTCCTTCTTATGGCCTTCATTGGGGCTTCCAAGTCATGTTCTGTGAGACAGTAAGGAGAGAAGTACTTCCTAGGCAGCAGCTCTATTACACCCACCCCATGTCCGAGGAGCATGCCTGTATTTCAACTCTGCTCAACCTGGTGGCCTCCATGTGTTTTGAACTACAATGGGCGTCAGCCTTAACCCAGAAGTCATGTTGTCTGATACTGATGGGAGCTTTAGTCCCAGACATACTACATGGGGGAAATCTGCTTTAAACTTCTATGTTTTTGATGCAATTCATGTTTCGGAGCAGATCCTGGTCAAAGCACACTGGAGACCATTATTATCATTACTGAATTGATTATGTGCTGCTTTTTCCCCTTAATGTGATGTCATATTGGGTGTGCTAACATTCCACTGGGCATTGTAAATCCAGAATAATGCCTTCAGACTAGGACTCCAACAATTTAATATTGTATTTGCTCTTTAGTCCAGGTCACCTGTATACAGTATTTAAAGCACATTGCAAGTTTACTCGTCCTTACCACCACTTCATATAATTGCATTTTTGTTTCCTTTAAAAATGAGGAGGCAGAAGACATTTGGGCAATTCCATGTAATTGTGGCCTGAGAAGCTTCATCTCCACTAAATAATTAACAAGTTGTTTAGGTCAGACCCCATACAACTTGCTACCCATCAAGCTGAAAGCAGCCATTTATCCAGGAGCCACCAGGGGCTCAATGATGCCTTGCTTTACTGCCTGGAAATTAAAAAAAAATTATTCAGCTTGGTAGCTGAATGGGTAAATGAATGCAGTGGTGCAAAATGTAATTCCTCTCTTCCCCATAAAAAGCTCTGATAATAAAAGAAGAAACTCGGGACAACAGCCAGAGCAGAAGAAGCCAACAACATTTCTTTAATAAGATGCCTTTTGTTGCTGTTGCTTAGAAGTCTCCAAAGGTGGAACATAAAACTGCAATGGATGACAATTTAAAATGCAATGGGGATGAAAGGTGACTGTACTGCTCAACATTACAAAAATTCTACCCACCTATCTTTTCCCCACAATCATATCCTAAAAAGCTAATTTTGATTATTTATTGGCCTGGGTGCACAGCCAAGAGTATGCTCTGGAAATGTGGGAACTTTAGAATTGTTGCAGTACTATACTGTTTCAGGGTATCAACACTTGCATGCCATTGTGTTTAAAGGAAGAGTGCACTCTATGAAGTAGAGAACATATATGCAGCATAGATTTTTTTTCACATTTGGCGCTATACAAAAGTATTCGAAAGAATGGCAACAGAATGTCAGAAGTGACCGTCATGCATACCGAAGTATCTCCTGATTTTTTTTTCATCCAACTGACAGCATGTGAACCAGTGTTTTATCCTTGTGGCAGCACACTACCTAATTGGCTAGCCTACTGTGTAGTCATTCAGTCCACACAGAACAACTCACAGCTGCTCAGTCTGAAATATACTACCCAAAATGGTTACGGAATCCAGGCATAATCAACCAACTCACTCAGGTGTCAGATATGCACAAGGAACATTAAGCTTTTACTGGCAGAATGCACTGAGGGCCATTTCACACTCTGCACTAAGTTAAAGTTATGATTTCTGGGAACATACAGCCAGTGAGCTGCAGCCAGTCAGCTGTTATTTCTTTTTTCTTTTTTAATGATGAGTATAATATACGATATCCTTGTTTTGAAAACACATGTTTGACAACATTCAGACATCATCATTATTATTACTACAGTGGTGCCTCACATAGCGATCGCTCCATTGAGCGTCGAAATTGCTTAGCGACGGAGTTTTTGCGATCGCAAAAGCGATCGCTTTGCGATGGTCCCTATGGGGTTTTTTCGCTTTGCGATGATCGCGGGGAAGCGATCGTGGCAAAGCGACCCTTTTTTAACAGCTGATCGGCGGTTTCAAAATGGCTGTCGGGAAAACAAAATGGCCGCCCGCTGTTTTTCCTCGTTTAAGAGGCAGCAAAAATGGCGGCACTATGGAGGATTTTTGCTTTAAGGTGAGGTTTTAAGCCCATAGGAACGCATTAATCGCGTTTTAATGCGTTTCTATGGGCTTTTAAATTCTGCTTAGCGATGAAATCGCTTAGCAACATTTTTCCGGAATGGATTAACGTCGCTAAACGAGGCACCACTGTACTGAAGAGTTGCTCAAAGCATCTTAGGAATATACAAGCCAGGCTTGATCAAACCAAATGTCAAGTGACTAGCACATTCCTAAGGAAAGTTCATGAGACAGGACATGAGGCCAGCTGTGGCTCCTCTGCTCTGGAAACAGGCATGGAGAAATACACTGCCTCTGATAATGAAGACAATAAACAGCCATAATGACCAGTAGCCACTCATAGTTATCTGTACATGTGAATCTAACAAATAATAATATTTTCTTGTACATTTAAAATATTTTTATTCTGACTTTCTCCCCAAAAGCATCCAAGGCAGCTTTTGTGATGCTTATTTATGATGTTTACTTACTTAGAAACTAAAGCATACCTGTGAACTTCACAAAGCAGATATAAAGGTTTTCTCCCAAACATGAAATAGTAATAGTCAAGATCCTACTGGTGTTAAGTGAAACAGCATAAGTAACAACCATTAACTGCTGCTAATTAATGAGATGCCAATTAATGAGTTGGTTACATGCTTATATCACCAAACTAGGAATGCAACTAGCACTTTGTTAAGTAGCAGTAATGTACCCAATTTGAACTGCGTGTATAATTCACCAGTGGATTTCTGGCTAATGTCAGAATTTGGCAACAGCCAATCTACTTCAAAGATGTCTGAAGATAAAGCACAAAACCTATTGATTCATTCAGCATTATTGTCAAGATTCTTTAAAAAGAACAGTATTTTCCTGCTTGATGGGAAGCAGACGAAAATGAATTGAACTCTCAAGTATCTAGCCTGCCTGAAAATCTACAGCACTGGCTGTAAGATCTGTTAACCAAACTTTTTATGATTTCTAACTTCAGCACAATTCACAGTAAAATGAATGGGAACTGGGCATCACACAGTGAAACTGCTGTGCCACCTCTTTCGGTGAAGGAGAAATGTTTCCCATCACCCACTATGTTGTCTCCAACTGTGTCCTTCCCCTAATGGAAAACATTTGTGAATTTTTCCAATCCTATTTTTCCCCCAAAATTTCCTGTGCCTTTTCTATCTACAGAAGACTAGAAAATTATATGGAAGAAGGTGTCTGATAGCAGGAGGTCTTCTAGAAGAAAGGGGAAATGTGTAAACATCATTTCTCTTCCTTCCTGCTCACAGAAGATTCATCTAATTCAAAAAGCCTTCTGCTTATGGAGGGACACAGCTGGAGACAGCAAAGCAAATTTATTAGTTGCAATCATATACTGTATATTTATTTACAGTGTTGTAGCTGTCTCTATATACATACTTCTATTCTTCCTCTTGCACCGTATAATTTCTAAGAAGTACCCAACTTTCATAATTGATGGGCCTACTTTATAATACATAAAGAAATACGCTGGCTTTTAAATGTTTGATATATAGCTTATATAAGCTTTTAGAGTGGCACAGTAAGATGGCGGTGAACCTTTTATATCATCATTGATGCTAAACAATTTGCATTTTTTGCTACCAACAACCTGAATAAAAACAGAATTCCTGATATGTGTGTTTTTGGGAATAACAATATATATATACAGTATTTTAAAAAATCATCATTATTCTTGTCAACATTTACAACATTTATCTTTCATAAGTTATCTCCCTGATCAACTCAGGATTTGACTCTAGAATAGAGATGGGCACGTACCTCTGTTTGGAGGTTCATGCCAGTTTGTTGGTGCGGCACCTCTGGTTACCTCCCCTGACCCCAAGCCAGCTCCACCACTCACCAGCCCACACATGGTGCTCTTTCCCTCCTCTTTGTGCAATCGACCAGTCGCAGCAGGAGTGGGTGCTTCGCTCCTCCTTTTCCTCTTGCAGCTACCCACTCAGATCAGGAGGCAGGGCAGGGATTCCTGCAGCTCTGCCTTTGAGGTTTATGCCATCTCTACTCTAGAGAACTCCCTTTGATGTTTATGCCCATCTCTACTCTAGAGAACTCCCTTTGATGTGACTAAAACAATAAATCTTTAGTTTTCTTCAGTTTCCAATAAATACATCTAGAATTGAACGAACTCTTTCTTTACAATAAAATGACTACTTTACTGAAGTTCATCACATTTATCACTAAATGAAGGGAACAGCACAATTCTCTCCTCAAGTATTGATTCTAAGAGACAAGGAATCTCCATTATCAAAGAAGTTTAACTCCAGCAATTCTGAAATGAGCCAACTGATCATGTCCCAGTTGGATCGCTCCCATTCCACTTAATTTCACTTCCACATATTTTATACAGTAGCAATAAAGTGCTCATTAACAGCTAAAAGTATCCTCCTTTTAATTGAGCATTTATTATTTCAAGTTGTGCCCAATTCTGACAAGTTCATCATATTAATTTTTCAGTTAGGTCAGACTTCTCTCTTACATTTTGTCTGCTTCTCTGATCAAGGCAGTACACATAGTTCAATTCTGAGACTTGCTATGCATCTCAATATTTTTATTCTACCCCAGTCTAATGGAAGGTAAACTATTCTAGCAGACCTTTCACCACTCAGAAAGAACATTTTCTTCCTTGTGTCACAGAGGTCAAACCTTGCTCACAATGAATCCAGCTACATTCAGCCATCATTTCCATCTCAGAAATTCTTCAGTCATTTTACATTACCTTCATTTTCAGTATTTGCTGGAACTGAATCAACTGCAAAGGGATGCCAAGGCTGAAGATTATCTAGGCTGAAGTCCCCATCAACAGGAAGGAGTTCAACGGTTGTTTTAGTCTCTGTCAATGAAGGCATGAGGGCATCGTTTCCATAGCTGATCCTTGGCTCACTAATCATATTTGCCAAGACATCATCAGAGTAGTTTTGCTCTTTCTGGAGCAGTTCATCTGGTGAAAAGGAAATTCAGCTAAGGATACATTTGAAGCTACTACAACAATTGCTTGGTAATGCAAGCTACATGGAAATGACTGCAACAGAGAGGACACAAAATTTGTTCAAAATTAATTTCACAGAACAAAAAAGTTAGGTCTGCTATGGTAGCTATTATGGAAAAAAAGAATATAAAAATTAGAAACAATGTTAACAAATGCAAACATGTCCTTGACAATTCACATTCGATGGGAAGGTGCGCTCCCCATAACGTTCAAATTCTTTGTCGTTAATCCATTTGTTTTGGTTTATATGTATCTTACATTAAATTCATAGATCAAGACTATATAAATGACAAATCCACTCTACACTTTCTACACAGTACTACCTTCCTCATTTCTGCTGCCAATCCATAAGGCAACCAGTGTAACTGCAGGGCTAACATCTGTCAGTGAATGAGTATCAGTCTACTGTGTAGTTTGACAGTCACAAGGATAATCTGCCTTGAACTCCAGCATGGGTTCCTTCAATGTCCTGTGACTTTTCACCACCAGCACTGACAATGGGTAAATACTTCCTCTTGGGCATCTTTGCATTATTCAGCTTTGCTATTGCAAGAAATGCATGGAAGAACCCACTTTCTCATCACCATCCAATAAACTCAAGGCCTGCCAGCACAGCAGCCATGTATTTACTTAGTGTGAACATCAACACTTTCCTAAATTGGGATCAATGCTGCACTATGTGCCTATCTAGCTACCCAAGATATCTCTGCGACACTTCATTAAATAGGTAGCAAAGCAGTGAAAGGAAACAGAGATACCAAAGTACAATTTCCCTGACAAAAAATCTGAATTAATTATGCTAATCAAAGTGGTGAGATGGGCAAGAATCTAGGTTCCGAGGTTCATGATGGTTTGTACGCACAGCACCACAGATGCTTCATGTTCCCTTCCCCCACCTCTTTGGCTGGGTTCTTCCATTCACCAGCCAGCACGCGCTCCTCTCCTCCTCCTCCTCTTCAGCTGTTCAGCTTGTTCCTGGTAGAAGCACAGCCTTCCCTGCCCTTTTGGCTGATTGCCCAAGAGGCAGGACAGACAAGCCCATGCTCTTGCCAGCGACTGGCTGAACAGCTGAAGAGGAGGAGGAAAGGAGCACACACCTGCTGCTAAGCGGGGCATTGGCCAGGGAGGCAGGGGAAGGGAAGAAGGCTTGCAGCCGTCTCTAGTGATAAGGGTAATATGAGCATTAAGTGCAAATGACTAAAATGAGATCAAAGGATCAGATTATAGTTAAACTTCAAACTAATAGATTGTCATGGTATAACTATATCCAGTTAGATAGCTGGACAAATGAATGGCTGAAAATTAATGGCACATGTAGAGAATGCACTATTTATGAACAATTTCTATCATCACATGAAGATATGCAGAAAGATGCTTTGATGGAGTAGTAAGTAGAACATATAACCTAATTTTGGAACAAGAGGGAAAAGAGACAGAAATAGGAGGTTTGAAATCAATTTGGGAAAATGATTTAAAGAAAAAAAATTAAAATAGAGGATTGAATAAAAATTTGGAGGATGAGAGTTTTAAGGTTAATGTCAATAAGAATAAAGGGGAAAAAATTAAAATCAGTTTAAGGTGGTATATGACTCCAGTGAAATTGAATAGAAGAAATACAGATTATTCTAAAGCTTGTTGGAAATGTGATGAAGAAATTGTGGTGGGAGTGTAAATTGATTCAGAAACTGATTTTTAAGGAAATATGTAATATATTTGGAAATGATACTGAATTCAACTCTAAAATTGCTTTGTTGCCAATTTTTGATATGATAGAACTTTATTATTGTTCAAAGGAATTGATTTCCAATTTTATAACAAGTGCTAGAATATTAATAGCTAGATTTTGGAAAGACAAAAATGACATTAAATTAGAAGACTGGTATAATGAAGTATGGGACACTGCATTAAATGATAAATTAATTAATGAACTTAAGATGAAAAGAGGGGAAATAAGTTCAAATATTTTTATGCTATTTGGGGTAGATCTGTTGAAGTTGTATTAGTGAAAAGAAAGGGGAAAGCCTCTAAACAACAATCAATACAATTTTGGAAAGAAAGATCGCATTAAAAGTATTGCTCTAAGGGGTCCTGTGGGTATGGGGTGCATGGTAGTTTAGATTGCGTAGCAAGTATTTTTCACTTTTGTATTTGTTTTTGTTCTGAAAATAAAAAATAAATTAACAAAAAAGTGCAAATGAGTTGAACAATTCTGTAATTCATTTCTTGCTACTGTTTCAGATGCACATGCTTATTATGCTTCAAAATAAGCTTTTAAATGTGTGTGTGTTGTGCCATTAAGTGGGAACCAACTTATACTGACCCTAATTGGGTTTTCAAAGGAAGTGAGATATTTAAAGAGTGGTTTTACTACAGTAGTTCCCTAGTCAGTTTCCACGGCTGAGCAGGAATTCAAATCCTGTTCTTCAAAGTCCTAGTCTGCCACTATATCCATTACACTGCACTGGGTATTCTTTAAACATATTATTTTTCTGTCCATAGGAAGATAAAGCTTAAAGCATTAAGAATTTTACATTCTTTGGGGAAAAATATACCAAACGCTGTTCCAAAAAAACACCAAAAGCCACTGTAATTTAGGATAGCATAAGCCACCTTTCTAAGGGACGTGGTGGTGCTGCGGGCTAAACCGCAGAAGCCTGTGCTGCAGGGTCAGAAGACCAGCAGTCGTAAGATCGAATCCATGCGATGGAGTGAGTTCCCGTTGCTTGTCCCAACTCCCGCCAACCTAGCGGTTCGAAAGCATGCAAATGCAAGTAGATAAATAGGGACCACCTCGGTGGGAAGGTAACAGCATTCCGTGTGTAAGTCGCACTGGCCATGTGACCACGGAAGATTGTCTTCGGACAAAACACTGGCTCTATGGCTTGGAAACGGGGATGAGCACCGCTCCCTAGAGTCAAACACGACTAGACAAAAATTGTCAAGGGGAACCTTTACCTTTGCCACCTTTCCACATGGATTCTGCAGGCAATCTTTTCTGTATTGTTAAATGAAACATGATGCTTTACTATTCCCTTACCTCCCACAGCTTTTTGCAACATTTTAAGTAAAAAAAACTTACATTCTAGCCACATTTGCCACCGACTTCTTTAACATCAAGAAAGCAAGCAGGCTTTTCAATTCATCGCTCCCTGTCTTTCTACAGTTGAATATTTTGCAAAACCCTCCAGTAACTTACCAACTTCATCCTGAATCTCTTCAGCAACTGCTGGAACATTGTAAAGGAGGGAAAGAGACTGGTTCATGCGTTCATATGTCACACGTAGGTGTGTCATAACCTAAAGATATTAAAACAACAGCAGCAATGACAAGCTGGTTTGCAGTGTAATCTTCAGTGTGTCAAAGAAAATCAAAGTTACACAGATCTCTCTACTGCAACTCCCAATATATTTTGCAGAAAAAGACAACTCACAGCACCATCAACAACCTTATTGATTTTATGGCTAAGAATCCATTAATATGTCAGTAGGTAATTCACTACTGTCATCTAAGTCTTGAAGGGGTAAGGCTTTCTGGCTGATGTCTTCAACAGTATGCTTATTAACTGCTGCTACTGTTGTCAACGAGGATTAACTCACATTAGACCTGCTCATGAAGACTATTATCAGCATGGTGGCACAAAGCAAGGCACAAACAGCAATTTCTAGTTCACATTCAGTAGTAAGAGCCATTATATATAGACTGGACCTGCCTTGGAGACTAGTGGGGAGGAGAGAGGAATAAACAGAGAATTTTAAACCAAAAAGTCTTTCAACATTCCTTGAACCAAGGATGGTGGAGTCTAAAGGTGGAAATATCAGTTTTAGGCACTGTCAACATTTTAAATTTGTTCATAGTATACTTTCTTTCCGTTACTATTGCACATATTTTTAAAAGAATGTTTACTCTTTTTTTGCAAATGCACACAAAACCAGATGTCTAATAAAAGATATATTAAAAAGCAAGAGAATTTCCCTATTGGTGTGACAACATCCCCGTTTGTTGTACTTAGAGATAACAGATAACATTGCAGCTACATATGCTGCTTGATTGCCTGCTAAATACATAAACTAACAGCAACCAATCCTTGGCAATAACATAAATTCATCTCTTTGTGACTGGGTGACCCATGGGGCAAGAGGAGTGTCACAATGTGTAAGGAAGCAAATGGGTAAGATTCTGGAAACACTACAATAGATTCTCAATTGACTGTTAGCGACTTAAATGCTTAAATGCGCTACAATTTATATTTATTCACATGGAGACATTTGCAAATGGGGCAGCTTGCAAAACTGAATGCCCACAAACCTCATTACAAAGCAACAATCATTGTGTTGGGCTCAAAGATGGGGAAAGTTACAACCTCGACTACAACTCCCAGAATCCCACAGCAAGCATAGGAACTGCCATGCTGGCTTTGAGATTCTAGGAGTTACAATAACATCTCCCATGTCTGTCTGGGTTACACATATTCATGATCAATGTTTGCATGTAATATGCGGGGGGTGGGGTGGGGGAAGGGGCAGACAAGTAGCCAGCTAAATTTAAGCCAAGGAGGAAAATATTTTTGAACGTTTAATCAAGGCATCCCCCCCCTTTTTCCTATATTTATTCAAACAAAAACAATTACAACAACAAAAATACAAAAATACAAAAAAATATTGCTGTTTGAGACTACGTTCTATCGTACACCCCATACTGACAGTTGGGTGCACATTAACAATTTTTATTGCAAATTTCCTTTCCAAAATTGTATGGATTGTTGTTTAGAGCAGTGGTTCTTAACCTTTGTTACTTGGATGCTTTTGAACTGCAACTCTCAGAAACCCCAGTCAGGACAGCTAGTGGTGAAGGCTTCTGGGAGTTGCAGTCCAAAACTCCTGAGTAACCCAAGGTTAAGAACCAGTGGTTTAGAGGCTTTCTCATTTCCTTTCGCTAATACAAATTCAACATATCTACCCCAAATAGCATAAAAATATTAGAACTTATTTCCCCTCTTTTCATCTTGAGTTCTGTAGTCAATTTATCATTTAATGCGATGTCCCATACTTCACTATACCAATCTTCTAATTTAATATCATTTTAGTCTTTCCAAAACCTAGCTATTAATATTCTAGCACTTGTCATAAAATTGTTGATCAATTCTTTCAAATAATAATCCAAATCTGCATTGTCAAAAATTGACAATAAAACAATTTTAGCATTAAATATATCACATGTTTCCTTAAAAATTAGTTTCCAAAATTTCTTAACATTTTTGCAATCCCACCGCATATGATAATACGTACCAATTTCCTTATCACATTTTCAACAAGCTTTAGGGTATGCTGAATTTATTATATTCAATTTTACAGAAGTCAAATACCATCTTAAACAAATTAAAAAAAATTCCTTTATTCTTATCGACATTAATCTTAAAACTCTCATCCTCCACATTTTTATCCAGTCCTCTGTCTTAATTTCATATTTTTATCCAGTCCTCTGTCTTAATTTCTGTCTTTAAATCATTTTCCCAAATTAATTTCAAACCTTTTGTTCCCCATTCTTTTTCATCTTGTTCCAAAAATTCTTTTATCTCTTTCTAAAAAAATCTGTTTTCTAAATTTTTCAGGTCTTCTTAATTTGTTTTCACATTTCTCTCCTTAATTTTTTTTAATTTACAGGATTCCCTTATTGTTATTCCTCTTGAAGCTGCTTTCATTGTGTCCCACAATGGGCCTATTTTAGCACCTCCTGTTTCATTTATTGTCCATAATTCTAACCATTCCTTCTTTATATTTTCTATTATCTCTGGGTGCTGTAAAATATTATTATCCATTCTC